GTTGATCATAGGATGTTAAATATAGTTCTCTGTGCTATAAAGTAGGACCTTGTTGTTTATCCATTTTATATATAAAAGCTTCCATCTGCTAACCTCAACCTCCCTCTGCATCCTTCCCATAACCTGTCACCCTTGCAGTCTGTTTTCTATGTCCATGATTCTGTTTCATAAATAGGTTCATTTGTGTCTTATTTTATTTTTTTGGTGTGTTGCAAAGCACTTGGGATCTAGTTCCCTGACCAGGGATAGAACCTGCATACTCTGCTTTGGAAGCATGGAGTCTCAACCACTGGACTCGACCATAAGGAAATCCCTTGCCATATTTTATATTCTACATGTAAGTGATATCATGTGGTATTTGTCTTTTTCTGATTTACTTACTTAGTATGATAATCTTTAGTTGCATCCATGTTGCTGCAAATGGCTTTATTTTGTCTTTTTTTGTGGCTGAGTTGTATTCCTTTGTATATATGTGCCATATGTTTATCCATTCATCTGTTGATGGACATTTAGGTTGGTTCTGTGTCTTGCTGAATCATATGGTAATTCTAGGCTTCCAGGTGGCGTGGTGGTAAAGAATTAGCCTGCCATTGTGGGAGATGCAGGAGACTAGGGTTCAATTCCTGGGTTGGGAAGATCCCCTGCAGTAGGTAATGGCAACCAACTCCAGTATTCTTGCCTGGAAAATTCCATAGACTGAAGGGCCTGGCAGGCTACAGTCCATGGAGTCACAAAGAGACACGACTGAGCACACACACACACACACACACACACATGATAATTCTAGTTTTAGTTTTCTGAGGAACCTACATACCTTTTTTTTTTTTTTAACAGTGGCTGCATCAACTTACATTCCCACCAATAGTGTAGGAGGATTCCCTCTTCTCCACATTGAGTGACTTTTTTGTTTTTTAACAATTTATTTCTTATCTATTTTGGCTGTGCTGGGTCTTAGTTGTGGCTTGTGGGATCTTCGTGGCAGCCTACATACAGTATCTAGTTCCCCAACCAGGGATCAAACCTGGGCCCCCTGCATTGGGAGTGTGGAGTCCTACGCACTGGACTACCAGGGAAGTCCTTAGGTGACTGTTTAAAATTGGGTAGTCAGGGAGGGCTTCCTGGAGGAGGTGACATTTAAGCTGATGTCTTAATAAGAATGAACTGGTTGTGCAAAGATCTCAAGGAACAGCATTCTGGGCAGACGGGATTAAGTTTCTGAAATGAGGATGAGCACTTGTGTTTGAGGGACAGAGAAAGCGTGACTGTAACAGGATGGGCAGCAGGGAGGGAGATAAGAGATGTGGGGCCAAGACAGCAGAGTCAGATCACTAGAGGCTGAATTCAGGGAAAGGGATTTGATTTTATACTGTGTGTGGGAGAAAACCTTTGGAAAGTAGTCCCCCCACTCCCAGTGGTTTACTCAAACAGGGGAGTTACCTAATCTGATATCCATTTTACAGAGATCACTCGGGGGTTGTGTAGCTGTGGGCCAGTGAGGCAGTGGTGGAAACAGGGGGTCAGTTCACATCCCACTGTGGTGGTCCAAGTGAGGGATGGTGGAGATGAGGAGAAAAAGGATAGATTCAAAATGTGTTTTAGAGGCAGAGGGGGAAGGACTGAGTATGGGGGATGAAGGAAGAAAAAGGCTTATTTGGTTTTTTACTTGAGCATCTGGTGGATGATGGTGCTTTAATGGTGTGAGACGACTGAGGGAGGAGGAACATGGGAGCAGGAACCAAAAATCCCATTTTTTAAAATGTTTATATTTATTTATTTGGCTGTGTATTTATTTATTTATTTGGTCTTAGTTGCTGCACCTGGGATCTTCAGTTGCTACCTCTGGGATCTAGTTCCCTGACCAGGGATTGAACCTGGGCCCCCTGCATAGGGGACGCTCCATTGCTTGATTGTCCTGACTACTACCTCCACTAAAATGTTGAGTAGAAGAGGGGAGAGCAGACATTCTAGTCTTATTCCTGATCTTGGTGGGAGGGAACATCCAGTCTTTTGTCATTAATTGTGATATCAGTTGTGGATTTTTTTTCATAGACGTACTTTTTCAGAATGAGCAAGTTCCTATTCTCAGTTTGAGTGTTTTAAGCAGGAAATGGTGTGGGATTTGCTAAACACTTTTTATTTTGCATTCATTGAGATGATCATGTGAGTTTCGCTTATTGATGGGATGCATTACATCAGTTGATTTTTCAGATATTAAAGCAACCTGGGATAAATCCTGCTTGGTCATGGTGCATAATTCTTATAATTAAAAATATTATTGTTTTTTTTTTTTCTGAAGCAAATGAATTTTATTGGAAGAACACAGGTATTTAACAAAATACAAGAAACTTAAGCAAGGAATACATTTTAAAGACACAGAAATTAGTCTAGTTCAGCGAAACTCAGCACTATCTCCTTTTTTTTTTCTTTTTAGCCATGCCATGCAGCATGTGGGATCTTAGTTCCCCCACCAGGGATTGAACCCACTCCCCCCCTATATTGGAAGCACAGAGTCTTAACTACTGGACTGCTGGGGAAGTCCCAACAGTATGTTGTTTTATATTCTCTGCAGTGAAAGGGTACCAGTTAATCTTTGCAGGCTCTCACTCATTCTTGTGGGTCTAGTCCCAAACCATAACAAAAGTATTACTGGCTCAATTAGGATAAGTTTAACAGACTACCAAACCAAGTAACTACGGCCAGGAAACTCTGTGACACAGAAAAGAGAAGGCAGTGGGAAGGTCTCAGACAAAGGAGGCCTGCTAGAGAGACCAATGAGCATGAGACAGTGCCTTCCATCCTGTGGAATACAAATACAGCACACACGCACTTTGACATGCCCCCATGGGTACAATATTTTTGAACATTTCTTGAGGAGGCATAAAAGCACGTATGATACAAAATGAAAACAACCCAAAGTCCAAGCCATTTCCAAAGGCACAATACCTCAAAGTCAATTTCTGGTCAAACGGCAACTCGCTGTTGTCACAGGGCCACTCTTTGAGCCGAAGTTCTCCGCACGAAGTTGACGACTTCTGTAGAACTGCTGTGATTCTATGAAATTCAAAATCCTACGGACTCAAGGTTAACCTTATACACCACTGATGCAAATACTATGCATACATAGAGAAACCAAGGCAAAACCATCATACAGAAGCTGTAAATGGCATTAACCATTTCCCGAAGGAGAAATATTCTTCCCTCTCAGTTCTAAAATCCAAAAACACTTGGAGTGAGGCGACACTCATCTGTGATCATGGAAGGGTCTTTTTTGTTTTAATTTTTTTAACCCCTTAATTGAGGTATGAGCAATGACTGACACACAAAAAGAGGTACACATTTAATGTATATAATCAAATGGGTCTGGAGGTAAGTATACATCCATAAAGCATCTCCATAATCTATACCATAAACACATCCATCCACTCGGAAGTTTCATTCCACCTTCATAATTTATTATTATTAGTATTTGGTAATAGAAACATGAGAGAACAAGATCTATCCTCTTAGCCTTTTCAGGACACATCAGTTCCAGGGCCTGGAGGAGATGCACAGGTGCTTGACAACCTACTAGAGGAAAATCTACAACAGGCCTTTCAGCATTCTGGAAGGTGCTTTGTCTGACTGATGGGGAGAGGCTGGGTAAACCAGGGAATCTCCTTAGGATTCACTGAGGTGGGTCCAATTTGCTCTTTTCCAAAGCTGATAAGAAGTACTACAGTAGGCTTGCACATGAATAAGGAGAAGTGAAGGAAGCTCAGAAAACCAACCCAAATCGAAACTCTGAGGTGGCCTGGCTGTGACACTCAGTAACCCATTTTGGGTTCATGCTGGAGTCAGCATAGTGGACTGGGAGAGCAAATTCAAATTCAGAGGGATGAAGAGACCATTCAAATTGTACAGGAATGCACATATTTGGCTCATTCTGTCCACTCTTTTTGACAGAGCTGCACACTAAAATTCCATAAGTAAAACTCTGCTGCATCTGAGTCCTTGCCTCCTCCCAAGTATTCTAGCAGGTCCTGTGCACCACAAGACACAACAATTAGACCTCTGCCAATTGGAGATCAAATCTCTGCTCCTTCAGAGTGCTTGAGAAAGGGACGGTGAGAGATGAAGTTCAGCTCCGCTTGCCAAGAGACTGTTGATGTCAGCAGAGTGACTTAAACCATCTCTAAACAAGGTTTGTAGTTTTAATCCTCATCTCCAGTGATCCTATTGATCACAGAGAAGTCGCCATGAGGACATATGTATGGGTAAAAAGCTCCCAGAGGACAAGCAGTCACTCATACTTTTTACTTGTCCTTCAGGCGCTGTTTCCACAAGTTACTCTTGAGGAATTCTTCTGCCCAGGTCTGGCTAAGACCAGAACTTTTAAGTCAGCACTTGGAGGGATGGTGAAGATACCCAGGGGACCTGGTAGCTCACGGGGAGCACATTGTAAGGGACACTCAAATAAGGAAAATTAAATTGCTCATGCTGAAAAGGGACGAGGACTTCTTTCTCACCTTTCCTCAAAAACTCTGGAGTGTGGTCAGTTCTTTGTCTGTCTCTGCTAAATCACTTCAGTTGTGTCTGACTCTATGCGACCCCACAGATGGCAGCCCAGCAGGCTCCTCTGTCCCTGTGATTCTCCAGGCAATAGGCTGCCATTTCTGACTCTCTGCAATGTATGCAAATCTTTTCTGTAAGTTAAATAAGCCTCTTGGAAAGTTGAGAAACCAAGAGGGTTCCTTCAGGGACCTGGCAGCGAAAGCAGGGACCAAGAGCCCATAAAGCTACAGCAAAAGGACAGAAAATATCACCGGGAGAAAAAAAAAAAATAGTGTAAGCAACAGCAGTTCCTTCTCAGAACTCCCTTAGATTATAAACTGTGCAACAGTACAGCTGGACAAAGAGCTCCCCTTCCACAACAGCCATTTGTCACAGTTCTAGGCAACACAGAGCAAGGAAGAGACAGCAAAGCCTTCACTTGCAGACAAAATCACAATTCACCTGGGAAAATGGAAAACAATCCTGTTCCCATAGTAAATGTCCGGGTTGATACCAAAGCCATATCTTCTTATAGTATAATCATCAGGGCACATTGTTATCTTCTCTCCCTCAGCTATGCTAACCCAAAGGAAGGGCACGAGAATGGAGAAAGGAGACAGGAGAAAGAGCCCAGAACCCACAATGCCCACCACAGTCGTCACACCAAAGACCCGTGTCCTCCCCACAGTCAGTCTTCCCTTATACTCGCAGAGGTTCCTCCTCATAGCCCTACTGGGCCCGAATTTCCCAAATCAAGAGAAAGCAAAAGCCTGACATGGGGAAACCATCGGGCATTGTCCCTCCCCCAATTGAGTTCCCCTTTCGTCTCCCCCACTCCAGTACCACAACACCACAAATAATACATAACTGTCCCTACACTGTTGTACCAACAATACCTTCTTCCTTGAGAGTGCAGAGAAGGTCCCCCTGAGGCAATGTCACCCCCACCAACAGGAAACCCCAAATGGAAGAGGAGCCACCACCAGCCAGCCTTTCTCCTAGAAAGGCTTTCTAGCAGATACACGGGTGGGAGAGACAGCTACAGCCTGGGGATGCAGCCCTCTCCAGCGAGTGGAATACAAGCGCTTCATCTGCCAGCTGGGGCACCTGACTCGGGAGGTTCCTGGACATCCAGGCTCATCGGCATATGCCCTGAAGGAAGCAAATGGCCCCGGATTCACGGACAGTTCACTGATGAGACCCATCGGACCTCTGTCTTCCAGCCAATGTGCAGAGTGTGCTCAGTGGAAGAGTGTAGAAAGTGAATGTGGAAAGTTCCAACCACATTCTGACAGACAGAGTTGGGACTCCTCAGGATTCTCAAAGTGCCCTCGCTCGGCACAATGGCACAGAATTCTGACATCAGGCTACCACCAACTTCTGCCAAAGACTGAACATTTCCCATGCATCACATGCTGCCAATGCCAATATGCACCTTCTTTAGAACTTTAGCAAGGCACCTGAGGTGTGTGAGTGTCAAAGGAAGAAGTGTCTGGTTGGTATATCAGTAGAACACACCAGCAACAGCAGTTCACATTCATGTGCCTCTTTATGCCACAGGTAGTCTCAACGGAAGAGTTGAGCGGTCTACTCAACCAAGTGTAGTCAACGTCAGCAGGCGCCTCCCAGGAGATCCTCTCAGACTACTGCTCTAGGCCACAGTATAGGAGGGGGAAAGGTCACCTTTCCTGAGTTGCTTTTCACAGCCTAAGGCAGTGCACAGACTGAGGCAGGAACACTAGAACATCCCTAACATTGAAGTCCAGAATTCTGAAGAATGCTGCCACATAGGGTAAAGCCTTCATCATGAAAGTCTCACCTTTGCCGGACAGGAATCCACTCTCATGTCACACTCAGCGATGTGAACTATTATGGTCAGTCCCCTTGCTACAATGATCCCAGGCAGTACCAGGGATTGAGAAATAGGTAGGAGACACTTTTGACCACAGAAAGTCCAATGCACCTTTCACACTGAGGGCCTATATCCTCCTGTCCAGCTTTCTCTTTTGCTCTGACAGCACCTCTACAGAGGGTCACTCTTCCCAGCCCCTTCCCCACCTCTAGGCTTTAGGCACCCCAACGAAGGTCCATATGTAGCCAGTCATTCCATCTTTCCTGATCAGTGAACTCCTTCCCGCTTTGAGCCTCTAATCTCTACAGTACTTCTCCTGAAAAGAAGCAACAATCAAAAGTGGCCTGAGAACCACTCATGTAACTGATTTGGTTCAAGATTCAATTGGTACAGCTCCTATGGGAAACCGTATGAAAGCCCCTCAAAAAATGAAAAAGAGAACTACCATCTAGTCCAGCAATCCCACTTGAGGTATGTATCCAAAGGAATACCTCACACCACGAATTTATAGAACATTCACATTCCCACGAGTGAGTAGACATTCACTAGGTATTGTCTCATGAGCCTAAGTGACATGGCTGGCCTGGGAATGAATTCCTGGGAAAGTACCAGCAGGCTAGATTCCATCTCAAATTCAGAAGAGGATTACCTTCTCTTTCCATGAGAGCCCTGATCTGAGAGACTGTCACCAACTGGAGAGTCACCTTTTTGGAATCTTCAACCGTGTGACTTATTTTGAAGTGCCAATACACAGCAGATTGACCTCTTAAACCATCCATTTAGGTTTTCTTGACCCCTGACTCCAATGAAGTCAGTCAAGATGACTTTGATGGGCAGTGGAAACAAGTGTGTGTGGAAGGGGAAGAAGGCCTCATGGTTATCCTTAAGTTTCACAATTGTCTTTACTAGGAAATAGGCAGCTTTGATCATCATCGTGTTACCTGGGGAACGAACATGGGCTTAGGGCAGGATTTTCTAAGTATCTCGGGCTTCAGGTTTTCACTAAGTAGGAAGCTATCACGACCCCCATCTTTCACAGCTTTAAAGTAATGTTCCCAATAACAGGGATAAACATGAAGTCTTTAAACATGGCCTCTTAAAACTGCATACTTTAGTTTCCAATCACAAAAAATGTGGATTTTCTTTTAACCTTCGCTGAATGAAATTCAGGTTCTGTATGCCACCTTCTGGATCAAACGTGTGCTAATAAAGCAACGGAGGAGACCAAGGTTTCTATGAAACTAGAGCTTAGAAGTGTCTTGGTATGCACCTTAGAACCGTTCATATTTCTATTTAGCACTTTCCTCCCAACCCAACTGTGAAAACACTTCCATAGATTTTCAACAAATTAACTACTGCCCAGAAAAGAAGTAGCTTTACACAGACAATGAAAGATAGGAGACTTTTTCCGCAGTGCCAGTTAACAAGCACACTCTTAGTGCCGCAACTTGGTGCTGAGCCACATCAGCTTCGGCATAAGGCGTCAGGGATGGCCACACAAAAAAGTGGCAAAGAGCAAGGCAAGCTGTGATTTGCTGGGCTACCTCTTGGCATCATAGCAGGATTTAAAAGGCTGGTTTCCAAACAGAAGCCCTGTAATATCTGAGGAAAGTTGCTGGCCTCATCTGGAAGGTCTCTGACAGTTAATTCCAGGTCCACTCTCTTCTCCTTACAGGCTCATCGGCTGGCCAGTACTAGATTTTGCCATCACAGGTCACTTTTCCGATCTCCGGAAAGGGAGCCGCCATGTTAAAACGTAACCGAAGAAAACAGTCTACGGAAGCCCCCACAGCACAATCCAGACAGTCAAGCAATATTATTGTTTTAAGCCACTAAATTTGGGGGTAATTTGCTAAGCAGCAAAATATAATTAGTTCAAGCTGCCTAATATGGGGCCATGGGCTCCTTGCTACCTTAGCTGCCAGGTGACTGGGCTTAAGAGTGGGGCAGTTAGGTTCTCCAGTATCTGCTCTCTTGGGTAGCCGTGAAGGCCTTGTCTCTCCAGCGTCTTGGTGGTGGGGTAGTCTTACGTGGAGCCAGGAGCCAAGGACATGCTCTTCTCTTTGGTGGCATGAGTGTTACAGCTGGACACGGGATACCTACAAGCAGAGCTGGAACTAGAACCTAAGCCACAAGTCCCTGCCTCTCCAAATTCTTTCAATGAAAGTCATGACTCAGCTTGAGTTTCATCTATGTCCTCCTGTTGCTTTCAGTTCCACTTGAATACATGAGGAAGACAAATGTTGTCTATTTGCATGAGGGCCTAGGTGGTCCCTGGAAAATACTGGAGTGTGTGGCCATTCCCTTCTCCAGGGGATTTTCCTGCCTCATCGAACCCAGGTCTCTCGCATTGCAGGCACATTCTTTACCGTCTGAGTCACCAGGGAAGACCCCAATGCCCGGAAAATAATTTGCCTTAATTAACCAAAGAGTCAGGGCCTCCAGCTTAATTTATTTTTTATTTTTTGACTGTGCAGTATGGCATGTGGGATCTTAGTTTCCCGACCCAGGATCGAACCCGTGCCCCTTGCAGTGGAAAGGCAGAGTCCTAACCATTGGGCCACCAGGGAAGTCCCAGGGCCTCCAGCTTGATGAGGGCAAACCTCCAGTGCTGGAGGGCAGAGTGATGCTGCATAGGGCTCCTGCCCACCACTTGGATTGCCCTCTGCTCCTCACCCCGGTCCACACCCAAGGGGGAGGGAGCTGTGAACACTGCTACAGGGATGGCTTCCCCAGGTCCCAGAGAGGTGCCCTTGTGTGCAGAGAGCTCCTAAGTGCTCTATATTTGGGAGAAACATTTTACACACAAGAAAGTCTCCCTCTGTATGATCCCCACTGAAGTGTTTGGGGTCATGTTTTCAAAAAGGAAGAGAGTTCTAGCTATTTGCTGGTAAAGGCTAGAGTGACAGAAATACTGCTGCCAACGATTACTCCCAGGCTGGTGCAGCTGGGGGCCTGAGAAGCAAGTGTCATTCACTCATTCACAACATCCATTTTGTCTTTCTCCTCTGGTCAAGGCCAGGGTCAGATTCTGGAGAAGGCAGGCAGAGTGCCTTTCCTTTGAGGGGCTTGATGACCCACAGGGAAGACAGAAAATCTCAATAATGAAGTAAGTTTCATGATAGAGATAAGCCAAGCCTGAAGGCTTCCTGGAGGAGGTGACCTCTGAGTGGAGTTTGGAAACACCAGTAGGAGATCGCATCATGAGGCTGATGGGTAGATATTGAAAGCCAGGCATAGGGGAAGTTGAGAAAATCATCTTCCTTTTTTTTTAATCCGTCTTCTTCCACTTCCTCTTTCCCTTTCCCTTTCTTCTTTTCCTTCTCTTTTCCCATCTTTCTTTCAGTTTGGCAGCCTCCCTCAGCCTCACCCCACCCCCAGTGGAGGCCCACCACTCACCAGGGCTGGATCCCTATTAATTGCTAGTCCTGGTATTCATAGATTCCGAGGGAAAGGAGGAATTTTCAAAACTGCTCCCAAATCAAGAGAGCCCTGGTGGTCCAGTGGTTAGGACTTGGGGCTTAGGACTTGGTGCTTTCACTGCCAGGACCCAGGTTTGATCTCTGGTCAGGGAACTAACATCCTGCAAGCCAAGTGGTGTGGTCAAAAAAAAAAAAAAGAAATCAGGAGAGCCCACATGAAGAGGGGATGTGGGCCTGTGCAGGCACAAAGTCCTGACTTTCTGGTGTAGCTGTACCCTTGTGACATCAGCAACCCTGACCCTTGCCACACATACACCCTCCCACCCCAGCCAGAAGTACAATTCATGATCAGCCATGTTTTTCTTGTTTTGTTTCAAGTGTTATTTTTTGGTGTGATCATAAAAGCTATCCATGCTACTGCTTTTTTTTTTTTAAATATTATTACATAAGCTGGATACTGCAGAAAATTTAGTATAAACAAATAAGCTGGTAAGATAGTATAAGGATTTCCCTGGCAATCCAGTGTGGTTAGGACTCAGCATTTTCATTGCTGGGGCTCAGATTCAAACTCTGCTCAGGGAAATTG